CCCGCCCGCGCTCCCCGCCGCCGCCGCCAGCGCCGCTGCAGTGATTCCTCGTCTCCATCTAGCGAGGCTATTGTGTATCGGGCGCTTAATCATTTATTTATTCACCCTGGAGGCCGAGGACTCCCGGTTACTGGGAATCTGGCTTGCCCTTCCCCCAGCGTCTCCCGAGGCTGCCCGGAGACCGGCTTTGGCGCTGGATCTCTGCGGACTCCCCCTCTCCCCCCGCCCCGTCCCCCGCAGGCTCTGCCCAGTGCCAGCTGGAACGGAGCAGGCCGCCCCCACACCCCCAGGCCGCGTGCCTTGATTTCCCCCTTGCAGTGTCTGCTTGGCAGCGGGATCAGCACTCCGCTGCGTCTGCGAAGGAGTTGGGACGGCCCCCAGGAGAATTTCTCCATCATTGCTTGGCCTCTAGGGTTATCAACAAGTCGGTTAGTAGGAAAGGAGCTGGGGTATGACCGACGTCCCAATAAGCAAGCTGCTCCTACCTGGCAGACAGCCGGAGGGCTCACCTGGTGTGTGCGTATTGCAAGCGCTTTGAAAACTGCGTGGGAGAGGGGGACGCTTCCAGTCAAGGCCATTTTAGGTTGAGCAAGATAGTCAACGGCTGAGGACGCTGGGAAGAGTCAGACACCAAGAGTTCATTCATAAAGAGTTATTAGTGCCCTTTCTCCATCTCCATGGGCACCTCCCTGACACCCCGTGTTAAATATATATGTATGTATATATGTCTATGTATATAGGTATATATACATATATGTGTATGTATATATATATATATATACATATATGTGTAAATAAGGCCTATCTCCTTTCCCCCAAGAACCTGGGACTGAGTGTCCTGGTTCATCCCTATAATCCTAGCTACTCAGGAGACTGAGATCTGAGGGGAAAGGTTCAAAGTCTGAGCAGAAAAGTCCATGGTATTCTTATCTCCAATTACCCAGCAAATAGTTGGATGGAAGTGGAGCTATGGCTAAAGTGGTAGACCGTCAGTCTTGAGTGAAAAGGCCAAGGGGACAGTGTCCAGGCTATGAATTCAAACCCCAGTGCCAGTGCACACATGTACATGCACACATGTGCTTGCCTGAACACACACACACACACACAAATCTGGGGCTGGATAAGATGTGATAAAGTCAGCCATTGTGTGTTCTGTGCTTTCCACTTGTGTGAGAAAAGGACCCACACCTGGAGACTGCCAGGAGGGACAGGAGGTAGAGGCTTCCAGGACAAAGTGACCTGAGGCTGAGGAAAATGTCAGGTGCTTTAGTAACCCCTTGTACTAAGATATGGAGATACTGTTCCTGCCTTCATTCATTCATTCCATACTAGGGCACCTACTAGGGCCCACAGTATTTGATGCCAAAAGAGTGAACTTCAGCATTAGAGAGCAGGAATGGCAAGCAAAGGAAGGAGAGTAGGACTTCCTGGGAGATTCATGATTTGTACAAAGGGACTAAAGTACACAACTGGGCCCCAATTGGCCAGCTGAGGACAAATGGTGTTTTGTGTGTTTTCTATTGGGTGTTTGTTCAAATGCCTTTCCAGCTTAAGCCGGTTGGAGAATTTTTCTTATCCAGGACTTCAATCTTTAGATATGACAATGCCTCTGATTTTTATTCCATAGAATTTATCCCCCAAGATGACCAAGGAACATTCCATTCCCTGAATACAGGTAAAAGGATATCTGCTTCCTGGAGAAGCCCAGCCACAGCTGTCTTCTGCAGGCTGAGTTTGGTGGGTCATGGCATGGTGAGAGACTAGACTTCCTCATGTCAATGGGAATCAATGCAATGGCACAGATCAAGAGGCATACTGTCATGAGAGACAAGTTGGGCAGAATGACCTTAATGGGCAGCAGATGGGTAAGCTATGGGAAGCCACGTCAGTGGCTAACAGATCCTGTGACTACAGAAAAGACTGATGAAAAGCTGACAGAGCATGGCTTGATTTGTATAGATAAATATTTTTTTAGGACCAAGATGACATCAACTACAGTAGTGGAAAGTCATCCAAATTTGTTCTAAGTCCAGAGCCCATTGATGGAAGAAGTGGCTAAGCTTCCTTGAAGGACCCATACAGTGCCACTGAGGATTGTTAGGGACAACTGTCATCCAGCAAGTGATTGAAGCATCTGGAAGTTTAGTCTTGGGCAGTAGGTAAGCTGCTAAGCAACTGGTCCAGAGTCTTGTGCATGTGAGCATGCATACATGCGAGCATGCATACATGCATGTGTGTCTTTGGAAGCTCTTCCTGACTTTCAACTTTGATCTCAATTAGTAGTTCCATATGACAGCCTGACAGAGGAGGAAAAGCACCAGAGCTTCATTTGCATTTGACTGATAGTGTCCTGGTGCTAATTGTTGCATTATACCCCCATTCAAGAGCAGGACTGGTGGCCTGAGGTGCCAGGCATGTACCACCTCCTATGCAGGGTGAGTGGCTGGACGAATAGGGAAGAAAAAAAAAATCAAAACCCAGGGACCTGAAGGTTAGGTAAACAGTCACTGAGGGACCCGTGGGAGTGAGCACAAAGGGTGACGGTCCAGGCCCTCAGACTGCCAACGCGTCTGTCAACATCAGATGGACAGGAGGACACAGCCTCTTTCTTGGGGCACCTCAGTGCTTCCCTGAGTGATGGGATAGCCCTTTAAAGGCTTAGCTATGCCACCAGCTTAGAGACAACAACTGATGGGGTTGGAGCACTGTTCTCCTAGACGTGGAAGGAGTTGATGCAATGTCTCCAACAGCTAGACTGCACAAGGAGAGGAAGCAGGCTTGGGCGTAGCAGGTCATCTTCCTGTAGAAGTTGTCCTTTTTGCTGCTGCAAACTTGGGTGCCGAAAGGTTAGAGGTCCTGGCCCCTAGAAGGTGGGACTTCCAGTAATGGGCGCTGTACCTCCTCCCCTCTCTTTTCTTTTCCCTTCTCCCCTTTCTTTCCTTTCCCCTCATTTTCCTTTCCCCCTTTCTTCTCCTCTCTCTAAGTGGGGACTTAGACGAAAGGTCATGTGAGTACCTCGGTCCTTTATAAGCCAGTGAGAAAGCCACAGGCTGACCCTGCTAACTTCTGACGTGGGACTTCCAGCCATCAATCAATCAATCAATTTTCCTGTTATTCAAGCCACCTAGCCTGTGGCATTTTGTTAGGTTACCTGCCTGTCTAGGATTTGCTGGGGCTTCTCTGCTTAGAGATAACCATGAGCAGGCAATGGCAGCATCCACAGGCTCCATAGTGTGAGGACCCAAGACCAGTTGACGAGCTGGCCCTGGAAGTGTAGAGGCAAATAGTGGTGCAGAAGGGGGCTCGCTAACAGGTGTCCATCAGGGTCCTGTGAGTGGCCACTCAAGTGACCAGTCACACTAAGGCTGTTTTTTTAAAGGAGGTTATAACTGACCGTGTCAAGTCTTTCATTCTTTGAGATGATGACATTTGATTCTCATGTTAGGAAGACAGGAACGGCTCTATCAGTCCATTTTTGGTCACAGACTACCTGGGTCTAGGTAATTTATAGAACAAGAGGCTCATTGTAGCTTACGGTTCTGGAAGCCCAAGAGCAGGGCCCTGATAGCTTCTCAGGCTCTGTAGAGGGCCTCGTGTAAGGACAAGTAGAACGCAAACAGATGGCAGTGTGAAGCACAAGAGAGCTGAGAAAGCTTCCTCTTGCAGAAACCACATCAACTCCTCCTGAGCATGGAGCCCCTATGACCTTAGTACCCCTCAGAGGTCCCCCAACCTACCAACGCCACCACACGGAGGCAGGAGTGAGGACAAACCATGTTCACACCACCGCAAGCCTGGGTGAGCTAGACTGGACCCCGTTGGTGCATGCGCTTGTGCATGCTTCGCTTACCTCCTCCTGCTGCCCAATGGAGAAGGCAGCCATTGCTACCATTGTTCCATCTCCTGGTCCCTCCCCTGTGTCACCTGCAGCATGGCTGCCACCATGGTGGTAGAACCAGGCCCAGCAGAGCCCCAGTGTCTGAGGCTTCCGCTCCAATCCCAGGCTCACACCATGAGCCTCAGACCATAGAGCTTGGAGCTGGCTTCCCTACTGGCCATCAACACAACCTAAGCTCACACCAGCGTGAATGCCCTGGGGGTGGACTGTGACCACCCGTGGGGGTCTCGTGGAACAGAGACCTTCTCTGCAGCACCCCTGCGCTGGTCACCTTCCTTCTCATTCTCTCTTCCCTCATGCCCTCTGACCTGGACTTGTACCTCCAAAATAAGTGATTACTTCAGCTTTCCTTGGGACCTTGTCCAGGACGCGCTGGCTTGGACAGGTCCTCTGGGGTCATGAGCCTTAGAGGTTGCGGCATGTGTGTGAAATGACGTGGAACACCGTGGGAACTAGGACACCTGCGAGTCCGTGGGAAATGGAGGGAATGGGTTTTTGACCACCCAGCGGCTCTCCTTCAACCTCTGCATTTTTGTGAACATGAGCAGTTCATTTCCAGCAGGGAGAG